ATTGTGGGAAAATTCTACTACCAGTCCTTCATCACCTTACACGAAATAGGGTGAATACATCTCATTTTAACCTACATTGTCTTATAATTCCATGCCTAAACAATTTATTGTCGTGTTTTTTTGTTATCACAGCTCAATGGCAATCACCTTACAGCTTCCGGTGAGACCAACTTACGAACCCCTTTCACTAGTCTGTTCAAAACAAATAAAAGTTATTCCAATAAAAACACATTTCCAGTAAATGAACCGTACTGAATGATGGGTATGCAATAAATGAGGATTAATTTAGGAGCTCTATTTTATTTGTTGGCTCAAGTGAGCAGTCCGTTTCTAATTGAATCATGGCCCAGCTTACTTGTTTACTTTTTAGCAGGAATATAAGCTAGTTTTCTAAAGGCACCAGTTTCCCTTCAGGAGTGTAAAATCATCTACAAGAGAAAAATTAAATTTTTTTGAGGCAGCACTAAATTCATATACGTGGATTTCAATCAATAGATTCTCTTTTAATCCTCGTTTTGTAATACTTCATCCCGGTAGCTTCATGTCTATGGATGGTAACAAAACGATTATGATGCAATCATAGCCTTGTGGTGTGTGTGTGCCGTGGAACTTGTATAATCTTGGAAAGGTAGCAAAATAGAGCTTATCCATGTGGAGTTTAGATGTGACCAGAAAAATCCGAGCTATCAGAGGTGGCGTCATCTAGTAGAACATGAATATATTGTTTAGTAGAGTTTAGTCACTCATGTCAATTTTTGAACTGTGAACCCAAAACAGATATTCAAAATTTTTACTAGTTTTATTTTTTGTAGGGTATAAAAAATTATTAAAATCCGAAATTCAGGATAACCTTCGAAGAATAACACGTGCATCATAAATGGGAATAAAAAGGTATACATATTAAAATACTCACAGCTTGAACCTCGGTCTGAATCCCCTCAAAAATTCGTCGATCTTCGTCTAATATTTGGAATCGGGGGTCTTCTTCATTATCTGGATCAAAATCAGGCAAAGCTGGCTCGAGAATAGAATCATTAGAAGCAAACTGGCCAGAAATAGAGTCATGCTGCCTATTGAACCAATCAAGCTGGGAGCTGGAATGCGATCTAGAGCGACAGCGCCTGGGGAGCAAGGAGCGTGCATTTGATGAAGCCGGAAGAAATGCGTCCTTAGGCAACAGCTTTTTTGCTAATTTAGAGGCTCTTATGACGACCCGTTTACTCTTGACCTCACGAATAGCAGAACAAGATCTATGCTGCGGAGAAAATGGTGTCGATGAGGGAGGCCGTCTTATACTGGATTTTGGATCGGGTCGACCAGCCGCCACCGTGGCACTTGAGGCATCGTCGTCCTCGTCCTCTTCCTTTTGTGGGTCGATATTGCACGTATCCAAATTAGTTGATGTAATATTTTTAGTAAGGGAACTTAGGGCCATGCTTGGTCCATCGACGAGAGGTAATTCAAGGACATATCTGTTAGCATTAGTATTAGAAATACTAGAGAAATCCGCTCTATTCTTGCGAGTCGGCAAGCCTTGAGACTCGGTTTTAAAGCGGTTTTGGGGAAAGATTGATCCCTGTCGAGTTAGCCGAACGCGGGACCGCGAAGTTGGTGTCTCAGAGAATGATAAGGGTGAATTAATAGAATCCCTATTATTATGAGTGGGGCCGCAAGTTGAGTTAGGTGGTCGCTGGAGAGATGGATTAAAAGAATTTGTTGATAGAGTGATACAAGACGAGCGATGGCTACGAAATCTTCGAGACTCCATTGGCTTTTGACAGTTGGCCGACCGCTTTGGAGATAAACAAGTGACCATGGGCGGAGAAGAATCTGTGCTAGGGGCCTCTTGGTTTAAAACAGATTGATGTGGAGATGATTGGCGTCGCAAGAGAAGGAGAAGGGTCTTAGAGGAGCCCGCTGACAGGGCAGATGAACGCGATATACGCGTCACCAGACGGCCAGTACCTCTGGAGACAGCGAGCTCGGCTTTGAGTGGCATCTGGGACTGCATCGGATTCTGAATGGACTGGTCCATTGAAAGTGAAATATCTGTTTTCAAGAGATTCAAATCGCGGATCTCCGGAGTAGGGTGGGAAGCAGACAAGGAGCACTGTCGGGCAGACCGGCTGAGAGTACTAACTCGAGGTGATGCTGGAGAAGAGTTAGCCTTGCTAAAAGAGGATTCCATAGGTAAATTTGCGATTTGAGAATTTCGAGAATCGGGAGGAGGTGAAGTATTACCACATTGATCAGCAGTAGGCAAATCAGCAGGTTTGTCAACTAAATAAAACGTTAAAATATTTGGGGAAAAAATCGGAAATAAATTTCTAATAAAATCCTTAAAAAAAGATATTCAGAAACCAAAAGGGTCGAAGCTAAATAAAATAGATAGGATTCAATGAAAACCGCATGTGTTCTAAGGTCTGATTATTGTGTTAATTACGATGGAGGAGTGATAGATACATATAAGTAGAAAGTTTGGTTCCACCACAATTAAAACATTCCATATGACCTGTAAGGCTCTTCATCCAGAATAAACTAGTTTCAGTGTTTAGCAGTTATTTGACCTTGGTTTTGCAACTTGGTCATATTAGGACCTAGAGAAACGAACCTTGTCCGGAGTCCATATTATGCACGATCATTTCCAGAGTCAGGCTGGGACTTGGTACATTCCCAGACGTTTCGTCAGCATCACCAGTAAGTCTTGCCACCCTCAGCGACCAAGCTACAAATTGTTAAATAACGAAAGGAGACCGCGACCATACAAAAGGTAACATCATCCTGGTCTTCATACTTTAGTTTCAGTGTTGCTTACATCGCCAAAATGAGCCAAAACTAAAAAAAGAGTTGGACTTCTCAATATTTATATTAACCAAAAATATAACAGGTAGCTAGCTGCAAACCTACTCATTTCTTATGCCTAAGTTTGTTATTTTAATGGGACATCCACCAATTTGGTTTGCTACTTCATGTGCAGACGGGTGAAATAAATTCATAAAGTGAGTCCAGTAGCAGCTATTTCCTTGCATAAATAAACAAAACTTACGATTCTCTGATGTTGACGCATATTTAGGTATGCGGTATTGTGTAATGTATTTATGCAGAGAGAGGTGCGATAGCCCCGGCAAGACTCAAGGCTATTCCGGGCTACTCTTGCCCAGCAGTTCTTCCTGCTCACTATATCCATCTCCCTAGGCTTATCAAGCGGCAATAAATAGTTTGCACTCAATTTCTCCTATTCAGCATGTTGGCCACGCAATTAATGTTTAAAAACTCCCAAATCTTATGCTTTTATGTGAGGTCCTCGTAACCTGCATTGCGGGTTTTGTATTCAGCGTTCAGATTTTCTGAACCACTGACGTTTATAGGCGGGTTTGCATCCTGGTAATCTCTTCTGGATAATTCGGCAGGACTCCTCCATGTAGACATAATCGAGTCTGTGATTCGTCCCAGATCTTTAAGACTTAAAATAGGTTATATAACCAATCATTGAGAAAGGCTGATTATTTTATACTCTGTTACATACTAAAGGCAGAAATAGCTAATCAAATAGATCCACAAATTTTTTTACTGAATTATAACAAAATTTTTAGTATAGACGACTATGAGGGCGAATTCGTATCATAAGTGCAAACTACCTTTGCGAAAATGACGTCCTCAGTAAAAGATAATATAGATGCGTTTGAATAACCGAAGGAAAAATAAATTGCAATGATTGTGATGGAAAGGCAAAGATTTCTGGCAATATTGTTATTAAATAGAAGATTAGGCAAGTATAATCTTTCTGTATTTTCATAGCTCATTTCAAAATATAAATTCCCATTATCTTAGCCATCTTTAATATTTATTTTTCCTATAAGATGTGATTGATCGGCTTCTATTATTTGATTAACCAGTCTGTGCATCACTTCACTCATTCTGATAAATATCTGGCTATATTGTCAGAAGCTCTAATATTCTCCCCCTTGTTTAGCCAAACGTCAAAAACTTACGCGATCCATCTTTCGATAGATTCAAGTTTCCATCTGCTCCCGCTGTGGCGGATGATAAGCGGATTCGCTTGGCTGGCGGTGAGGGAGACGTAATCAGCTTTGCTGACGTATAATAGGCACTCGCGTTACCACTACGAGTACGAATTCTGGGCTGGGGGGAAATATTCGAGAGCAGCCGTTTGTTGTTAATTGGCGACAAACTATCAAAAAGATCGATCGAGGTCAAAAGGTCAGGTGCGATGCTAAACGAGTCCCCTCGATCGTCGTCTTCTTCATCAAAATTCTTTTTATCAGCCTTTTTTCCTAGATTTTCAAACTTGCATATTTCCGCCATAGGTCTGAACTTTCCAGCCGGCTCAGTAGGAGAACAAAGAACGCTTGGATTGTCGGCAAACTTTGGCAATAAAGTAAGCTTAGAGGAGGGCTCGATAACTGCCATAACAGATACAGGGAGAATTTGCACCTCGGAATCCGGATTCAAAACGGAATTAGGGGATTCTGTCTGCTGCTTCGGTTGCAGGCCATCATCGTCATCTAAACTAAGGCAAATTGGCGAGATGCATGAAGTAAAGTGTCGTCCACTGGTAGGAGATCCAGCGGAAGCTTCTGAAGTCCATAAAGTAAATCAAGGAAAGGACGTAGATAGTGTTAATAAGATCAAGGTACTTGATGTTCTAGGGCATGTACAATATATATATATATATATATATGTATGTATGTATACAAAGGATACAGAACTAATTTCGGACTCAATAACTTTGTGATGAACACTAGTGGAGACATTGATGTAGAAACAATATATCCAAGAAACATCTTATCAACAAGATAAGATAGATACAACCTATTAAGACCGCTGGCATATTGAGGTAGTGGAATAAAAAACGTAGGAAAATGATTGGAAAACTGGTAAAACCTTTATCGTATGCTACGTTAGTCAGAAAATGACGCCATTTTGTCCTTTCCTATGTAATCAAATTAAAAAGTAAAATACTCAAAAATTGAATCATTGACAAGATTTGGGAATAAATAAATAAATATGCCAAAATAATGTAGTCCTGACAAAATATGAGTAATTGCCTGACGGAACTATTCGTTTAACAGAATCTAGTTACAAAATTTACATAAATCAGTTAGATATGAACGTTTATGACAGGCATTTATCAAGAATTAT